TATATATATAAACTATGGCCTCCTGAACAATTTAGTTGAATAGCCCTGTGAAAATAAAAGGAAATTAAGTATTCATCTTATCTTTTTACTGCAAATCAAAAAATAAAACCTATTTTTCTTCTGTCCCCTCATCTTCTGTCTCTAATCTGGCTCCTGAACAGTTTGGGTTTCACTCTGAGGTTCTGTTGCAACACACTCTAATTAAGAGTGAAATAAACAAACATCCTGTGCCACACCCATACAGAACAACATTGGACTGGAATTAAGCATTTGTTTAGGATTATTTGTGTAATCCTGCTCCTCCTGGGTGTGACGATGTACAGACCTGGGCTTGTCTCACCGTCTGACTGAAAACCAGAACACTGTCCGTCAATCCCTGCCGACTGATGCAACATTACTGTGGCGTTTGTCAGGATTTCAGATGCTGATTTTGCTTTATTCTCACCCTGACGATGTCCAGCTCTTCTTTTGTGGCCGCCTGCTGTTTTTCCAGCCTGGTGCTGAGCTGGGAGCAGATCTGAAGCAAAGGGAGGAAATTAAATTTAACCAGAGGCTCAATCAAACATCGAAAACTCTGCTTTAAAGCTTTCTTTGTTTCAGCTTCAGTCTTAATATCTATCAATAATAAAAACTATTTCACATAAATACCTGTATGTACGCTGAAGATCAGATGAGCAAAAGGACTTTTTTACCTGTTTGTATTCAGCTATGATTGCTGTGGTTTTCTTGATTTCCAGCTCTGCTTTTTCCAGCTCCCTCCTGAACACCTCCTTCAGCTGAATGAGGAAAAAATATTAGAAAACAATTAACATCTGCAAAAACAAGGAGGATAAACTAAGAATAAAAACCAGAAAGCATGAATCTCACTGTGTGGTTCATAGATATTAGTTTTGCTTTTATCACTTAGATTTCTGAGCAATTGCAACCTTATAACTTAAATAAAAGACTTTATACAATAAAGTAATTTATCTAATAAGGTATTAAATAACTTTCTCCTTACTCGGTGTATTTCTGCTTGTTTTCCAACTAAGGTTGTCTTATTGCTCAAAAATAGACGAACAACTCATGCTCTGGTGTTTTTTTTAAGTAAAAATAAAATAACTGTAGTGGTCACCTCGAGGTGGAATAAACAGCTCCACCTGTCTTTGACCTTGGTCTCAGAAAACCKCYTTCAGAGAGACAAAACTCTGTTCCATTTAAAACTTAGTTTAAGCCACAATGTGTCTTCTCAAGCATAAAAAGAGACATTTTCTTCTTCTTAATTAAGATAAACAAAGTAATAATGTTCTTTATATTTTTGATTTATATTTTATTTTAACTAAAAGTTATCATTTTATAAATCA